GAAGGGTAAAATAGTATTTTCAATCTTTTTGTTAAGGGATGTGAACAAGTGTCAATTTTTAGAAAACTTTAGAATACTTTTAAAGCCCATTGGCTTTTCGAAGTTATTTACTTTGATATGTGCATTTGCCCATGTTCTTTAATTTCCAAGGTAAAGAAGACAATGACCGTTTTAGCCATAAAAATCCATTATGAAAAGGGGCATTTTTGTTTCATCCAAGTATTGGCAACTTTCCCCGTGTGGAAAAGTTATTTATTCACCTGAGAGATGATTAGTGATACCTAGAAAATTTCCCCTGATCTCCACATAAATCTGAAAAGGAACATAGATTTCTTGGTCAATGGAAACCAAAACCTCATTGATCAACTTTTCCCCTCTCAAAATTCAAAAAAAAAAAAAAAAACGTCCCTTAAGTGATTTTTCAAATAGTAGGTTAAGTTTTAGTTTAATTTCTAAAACATAGAGGTAGTTTAAGAATTTTATCCAATTAATTATCATGTCTTTGTATGTGGAGAAGAAAGATGATGAGTTGGTCTTGGCAAGTACCCTAAAACTGATTTCCGTTTAGAAATCTGAAGAGTTTATGAGGATTGAAGAGGTTCTCGTCTCCCACGGACAAATTTGTCTGTAGTGCGAGTGCAAGTACTCTTAAGAACATGTGGACAATTAAGGCATGTTCGTTTTTTTGGTAAGTTACTTACCTGGGTGAGTTTTTCATGGGAAACACTTACCTGGGTAAGTGCATTTACCCATGTTCTTTTGTTTCTCATGTAAATAAGGCAATGACCATTTTAGCCATAAAAATCCAATATTAAAAGGGGCATTTTTGTCCAATTCAAGTGTTGGCAACTTCCCCGTAGACGGGAAAGTTATTTACCCACCTAGGAGATGGGTATCACTTACCCGAGTAAGCGATACCCAGGAAAATAAACTTTCCCTGGTCCTCACATAAATCTGAAAAAAGAACATGAGATTCTTGGTTAATGGGAACCAAAATCCCATTGACCAATTTTCCCCATCTCAAAATCCGAAAAAAAGAACGCCCCCTAAATGTGAGCAGCCAAAGTTTTTCTCATTGCTTTCCTGTTAAGTAATTGTCAAATGGAATAGCCGGGATTATCAATGGGGTTTTCACTTTTCAACAACAAGTTGCCACGAAGAAGTTTCACTTATTACTGTTTTTCTGATGCAATAATTGCTTTTGTTTTGAAAGAAAAACCTCATTCATATTGGGGAATAGCCCTAAAGAAGAATGAAATGTACTTCAACATCATTTTTTTTGCGGGTAAAGTTTCGTGTTCTATTATCAATTCAAGGCTTGTACATTAGAATAATCTAGAACATGGCGTCTTTCTGTTTCTCCATGAAAATAAGCTTTGTATGCTAAGAGGTGAGCTAGTTTGTTTTTTGTACGAGGGGTATAAACAAATTCTATTGACTGAAATTGTTGTGTTTTGGCTTGAATGGTACCCCAGTGAAGTTGATCCATCCATGAGCAATCAAGAGAATGGTTCTTGAGTTTTTTAACCAGTCCCTCAATATCTAAGCAGACTGGTAAATGATTGCAATTGTGACAGATTGTTGATTCCAAACCTTGAATTAGAGATCTAATTTTTGCATCATTGCTCCCATCAAATGAGTTGTTTGTGAACAAGGTAAATGAGGGAGTGACCAGATTCGACCTTGTGTCGGGGTGCTCATTCTCTTTTTTTGCAGTTTCTGAATATTCTTTGAGGATGTTGTAAGCTGATTCAATGTTTCTTAAGGGGTGGTTTTTTTTTTTTTTCTTTTGAAAGATCCATTGAATCATTGCTTCCCATAACTTGTATAGTATCACCTGGAATTTGGAGAGCATGTAGATTTTCTCCATTTTGGAGAGATGGCCAGGTAACGAGTAGAACCATTATGAAAGGTACCGATGAAATGGTTTGTCTCTAGTGTGTTATGGGTTTACTCCTATTTGAGCATGGCACCAGATTGCTTTAGCCAAAGGGCATTGAAAAAACATATGGTGAAATGATTCAATTTTTTTGTGAACATATAACACACAACATGTCTTGCTCTTGGAGATAGGCCTTGCATTTTTCTTTTGTTTTGATACCCCCATGTATTGCCTTCCACATGAAAACTTGGAATCTGTATGGAATTTTTGGTTTCCATAATAGCTTCCAATCAAATACTTGATTTGAAGACGAGGGTGTGGCTTGTAAAAAGGATATGTATGCTGATTTAACTGTGTATCTACCTGAATTGTTCCTTTTCCAAACAAGGGCATCTATTTCTAGTTATGCGTTTACCCTTATTTCAATTATGTGGTTAATCGACTCTACTGTAAAGTGTTGTTGGAGAGCTTGTAGATTCCATAATCCATTTGAAAGTAACAAATCATAAACTCTTAAGTGTGTTCGATTTTGCAAACCATTATTTGACAGTTGGGGAATCCCTCCAGGTAGTGTTGGAATCCACAGATCATGCAATGCATCAATACTTGATCCATCATTGATCAACCAGATCACTTATGCTTTGAGTTCTTTCATGATTTTAATTGCATGTTTCCACCAGAGAGAATCATGGGCCTTTGGTTCAATCTGAAATGGGCTGTGGTTTTTGATATATCTTGCTTTGATGTTCTTGGCTAGGAGTATATTGGGATTGGTGAGAATTATCCATACTTCCCAAACATGGCCTTGTTCATATATAGACTTTGTTTGAAACCTAATCCTCCCTTTGATTTTGGTTAGCAATGCTTCTCTTTATTGCATGTTTCCACCTGAAGTTCCTTTGTTCTTTATCCAATTTATCAATAAGAACTTTTGGCAATATGGTAGTGGACATGGTATATCTTGGTATAGGTTGAGTGATTACTTGAATAAGAGTGATGCCATAAACGACACAAATACCTCATTGAGAGGATTAGATCAAAAATATAATTTTGGAGAGCAAAATTGTTATCTCAAGCCATAGCTTCGCACCCAAATAGCTGTTGGCTTCAAAGCTCATATGGACACCTAGGTGTTTTGAGATGAATTTCCTGTATTGTCTGAATGTTTTTGCCGAATAGGATGCTTGACTTGTAAACTTCTGTAGCAAGGATATAATCATATGCAAAAAAAAGGTGCATGATCCGTTGGGAGTGTCGACTAGAGCTTAACTTGGCACTTGTCATCTTTTAGTTCAGCGGCTTGGTGACATTATTGATTTTCTTGTTGGCTTTGGCCCAATAGGCCCATAGGGGTTTTCTGAGGGAGAGTAGACGAGCTGGTGGCAGGAACAGTGATAGCTTTTGTGGATTTAAATGCCTCCCCAAACCCAAACCCAATACAAGGATGGCGGGGTTACACTACACCAACTGAACTACTGGGCCATGGGCAGTTGCCACTATATTGCTTTTTTGATCGGTGGTGTACTATTGTTTAGGAATATTTATTCTTCATGGAGGCTAATTGGAGGTAAAATAAGCTTTTATTTTGATATTAAAAATAAGTTTTGAAATATGATGGATTGTCTCTTCTAAAGCAGGAGGAGTGACTTGTAATGCAATGCTCCTTTGAATCGAAGAAAGTTTGGGCTATTAAAAACTGTGCAGCTTTTCCTTGCAAAATGCTCAGGAGGTCTTACAATTGTCATATTTATATTTGATTTTCCCTGCTATTTTTTTTAAAAAAAAAGAAATTTGTGCATCACCGTTCTTATACAGTCCATTTGAGCTGGCATGTTGGAGTGATTTGACGTAGGGCTTCCTAATGTTCCTTCTCCGATGATCTATCCAATAATATATTTTGATTACTTGCTTTAATTTTCAAGTCAATTTCCAGCTCTTCGCTCCTCTGTCTCATTTTTGTCTTATTTAGTGCCGGTGCCGGTGATCATCGTCATTGGAAAACCGATAACCGAAAAGGTAAATACGCCTAAATGGTGCCAAGTAGCCAAGTAGGGGAGGGAGACCTCTTCAGTTTCAGTAATCTTTGTGTGTAATCAGGATTTTCCCTGCACACTGCTACATGGGCTCAGGTAAACGTAAATCGGTAAATGTAAACTCTTTCTGAACTCTTTTCTGTGCTGTGCTGGGAAAGATTGCCTTTTTGTGAAGGAGGGGAAGCGGGAAGCCCAAGGTAGGGTGATTTGGGCTGATTCTTATTGCTGTCTATTACAGAAAGAAGGGGGAGGGGGTGTTCCGTGTTCATTTCAATCTCCCTGAGAGCTGAGACGACAGAGAGCATTTTACAGCCTGACTCACTTACTACTTCACTGATGATGATGATGGCTCTCCTCTTTAAAAGCAGTGCGTGCGTTGAGGTTGGCCACCTGGGAGGGCTTACTGTATCTGTACTGGTAGGCCCTTAGGCCTTAGGCTCAATTTGTTTGGGAAGAGGTAGACATATATATAAATATGTACAGTGCAACAACTACAAGGTTTATTATTTTGTTGTCGGAAACCGATTGTCTCTCTCCCCCACGAGTCCCTGTCCGGCCAGTCGGCCACACCCCACCCCAAGCACTGAAATGACTGTATGCAACCCCCACTCTTCAACGTAACATTTTTGGGAACTTGCCGTAAGCGACACATGTTTCCCCAAGTTGGAGCCTGGACTGCAGGAGCTGCTAACTCACAAATTGGGATTTGGGATTTTGCTCATTTGCTCTCTCCTCTCCTGCCAAACTCTCTCTCTCTCTCTCCTCAATTCTCCAATGTGGTTTTATTATGTACGCCTTAGTACGTAAAAGTAAAAAAAAACCCAAAAATAAAAAGTACGTAAAGGTGAAAAGGACTGCTCTAATGACCGTTACCGCGTTCCACTACACAACATTATATTTTCCAAAACTTCAATATATATCACGAGACGTTGGGTTTGGGGCTCAAATTACCATTTACCAATAACCACCAACTGCAGATAGATAGAGATTTTTTTTCTTTTCTTTTTTTTTTTTGGAAAAGATAGACAGAGAGAGATTGAGTGTAGATTGTTTGTAGAAAAGAAAGAGATATATAATAGAGCGAGCGACAGAGAGGGAGAGGGAGAGGGAGAGAGAGATAGAGAGAGAAAAAGGGGGGATCCGTTCCCTCTCCAAGCTAAGCTAGGCTCCTACTCCCAGCCTCTCTGCTGCCCGTGCCCGTCATTACTACCTGGATCTCCCTCTCTCACACATAACATACACACGGGCGGATACACAGGGCGCAGGGAGAGACAGAGAGATAACCAAAATCTCTCTCTCTCTCTTATATATATATATATATATTTTTTTTTTCTGGTTCTTCTCCCAAGCAGGCTGCAGGCCCTCCTCGTTAACAAAAGCAAACAAGGGAGGAAGATAACCGAAAAAAAAGGAAAAGGACACGAGTCATGGGCTGCTGTGGATCGTCTTTCTTAACCGAAACTCACCCTGAAAAGGAAAACCAGCAGAATCAGCACAACCAGAATCCGCCGTTCAACCACCCTACTCCCTCCGGCGGTTCTGACCCCGCAGGTGCCGCACTCGGTGGTGTTCCGCCTTTCTCCGAGTTCTCGCTTTCCGACCTTAGGGCCGCCACCAATAACTTCAGCTCCGACTTCATTGTCTCTGAGAGCGGAGAAAAAGCCCCTAATCTCGTCTACAAGGGGCGTCTACAGAATCGACGATGGATCGCCGTCAAGAAATTCACCAAGATGGCCTGGCCCGATCCCAAGCAGTTCGCTGTATGCATCCATCCTCCTCCTTTTCTTCGTTATTTTCTTTTCGTTTTTTCTTTCCTTAAAATTTTCTCTTTTAATTTTTGAGAAAAACACACAAACACACAAGGAAGACTCCTTTCTCTCCCTTTTAGCTTTATCTCTTATGCTATTGTTATTTTTCCTGGTTTTAGGAGGAAGCATGGGGTGTCGGGAAACTACGGCATAGGAGGCTAGCAAATTTGATTGGCTACTGCTGCGACGGTGATGAGAGACTGCTTGTTGCAGAATACATGCCCAATGATACCCTTGCCAAGCATCTATTTCACTGTATGCACTGTTTTCTTTTGCCCTCTTCTGTTCATGTTAGACATTTTCTCTGATTAGGTTTCACCTTGGTTATTTAATTCCTACTTCGAACTATCCTAGAGAGCTTTTAATTATTCCAAGCTAGATAAATATCTGGAATCGAAGAGAGACCGAATGTTTGAAGGACATCCAACGCTTGATTAGCTTTCGTTATTAATTTCTTCTTTTTAATGGATGGCATTGTTGGGGAATCTTGTCTTATTGTGGTTTACCGCGTGCTAGCATAGTATAAGTGATCTACGGGAATATGGACAAATGGTTAAAGTCCGTGGCAGTATTGCTTTTGTATTGCATTGTAGCTTTTGGTGGTTTAGTTTTGTTTTGTTTTGGTATTCTTTCATTTTTGTTTGATAGGTTAGTCACATTATTAGGTGCTAGTTGTTACAGGGAATCAAATTTAAGGATCGTACGAACCCACTTATTTTGGGCTCAATTCATGGTTTCAGATTCAGTTGTAGGAGGTAGTACTCAACTCAACCTCAGCTCTTTCCCAAACCGCCTGGGATCTGCTACATGAATTCTAATATGCTTAAGAAATACATACACTTCACTCACACGCACACACACACACTCACTCTCTCTCTCTCTCAACTGAGTTTATACAGCTGTAAAATTGGGATGATCTGTGAGGCTAATTCTCGTGCTTCTTTTGTATCAACAGATGTAACCCTAGACACTCTTTTCTTCTCTTTTGACAGGGGAAAATCAAACTATTGAGTGGGCCATGCGCTTGAGGGTTGCTTTGTATATTGCTGAAGCATTAGAATATTGTAGTACTGAGGGTCGACCATTGTATCATGACTTGAATGCTTATAGAGTTCTGTTTGATGAGGTATTATAGTTTATCTCTTCTCTTTTCAATGTTTTTCTTTCTGGCATTATATTGCCACTTAATCTCTGATAATAAAAATTATCCCACTTCCATCATCAATCATGTGATGACATTGATTTGTTTTATTTCTTCTATTTCTGTTTACATTTAATTTTAAACAATACTGTTTTGATGATGTGCTGTGTCTTTAACTGCTGATTGGTTTGATTGATTGTAGGATGGTGATCCCCGGCTTTCCTGCTTTGGCCTTATGAAAAATAGCAGGGACGGGAAAAGTTATAGCACAAATCTTGCATACACCCCTCCAGAGTACCTACGGAATGGTATTATTTCTCTCAGATTTTAATTTTATAACTCATCTTTCTTTCAATTCCATTTTTTTTAACATTTAGGAGGTCCAAAGCAACTTTAGGTAAATCTTGCAGCATCTATAGGCTAAGTAATAAATAATAAAATAATGAAGTAATTAACTTCATTGTTCATAAAAAAAGGAAACTAGCTTCATTTTTCAATCTAATGGGCTTAAGTTGAACTCAATGATTGTCACACTCCAAGTCATATCTTCTTTTTGGATGGGGTGTCATACTGATACATCCTCTACTGGTCCTGACTTTGTTCAGACCTCTACGGTTTCATTAATCAATACTACATTGTCTGCAAACCATCTCAAGGGATTGCTTGAAAAGCATAGAAATAGTTTTTTGTATATCTCAATTCTCAAACAGATTTCACATGTATCAGCAGAATGCTTACTTGATATTAACTGAAGTATAATAAGGATTACCACTCTATACACTAAAAATGGAAGGGGGCTCATGTAGCTTTTTTCATAAAGAAGTGTGACTGTTGCCCAATGTGTAGAAGATTTCTCTTTTTCTCTTTTAAAAAATGAGAACGAGATTGGAAGTTGACAGCAGGTCTGGAGTTCAAGTTAGGAAAGCTTTAAGGTGTTACTGTAAGGGCTGTCATTGTCAGAGTGAATGGTAAATCTAGATATTGGCTATTGGGTGACCAATTTTAAGGAGTTTGAGGGTTTTACACAAGAACATTTCAGTAGGCATAGGTAATGTATAATTTTTCATCCATCTTTTTCGGTGTAGGAAAACATTTACAGGTGCTTCTATTTCTGTGATTTATTTTGGTTGCTCTTCATCATTATTCTTGATAAGAGATCCTTGTCCTCCTTTTGAATGAAATTCACTATTTAGCAAAAGAAAAAAGAGAGGCTTTAAGGTGGCTAGGAATAGGTTAGATTGTATGACAGAGAAGAGATTCTCAGTTCAACTCCGTTCTTGGTCTCAGGGAGTGGTGAGGAGCACATAACTTGAATCAATCAAATGCCACTATATAGGGGGGCTTTCCTTTGTTAGAAATCCATAGATAGTATTTTGAAATTTCAAAAAAAAAAAAAAATGCAACACGATATCTCAGAAAGAAGCAACCCTTGATAGCTGCACTGGTGTGTGAAAGCTGTTGCGCTAATGCACTCCCGCTTTTTTGCAGCAACAGCTTTGAATCCAAACAAGCAAAGGCTGTGAAGCCACACATGTCTGAGAGCAAGTGAAGGCATCAACTTCAGGTGCCCGCTAGTGCACTGCAATGTGCCAGGTTGCTTTGCCAGAGCTTTCTAGAGCCCCGCTCAATCTAGAATACTAGTGCATGCATCTGTTTTGAATCATGAATGGACAACAATCAGTGAAAGGCTGTCAGATCTGAACAGAGAAAAGTAAAGGGAGAAGTTTCAATGTTATGGGAATAAGTTTGGTTAACTGTACTTTAAGGGACTAGGTTGTGAAGAAGGAAGTTGTTATGCAGTTATTGCTTAGATTTATGGTTGTTGGACTGGGTATTCAATGAGCATAGACAGATTTAAAGCAGTAAGCACAGAGAGGAAAAACAGAGAAGGTAGCACTTACTGCCATCAGCATCAACAAGCAATCTTTCCATCAACACCATGATTTTGAAGGAGTCATTGGTTGTTAGAAACTTAGAATTGCTCTAACAACAGCAGTAGAAAAAACACAACATTGACTTGGGATGGGAGTAATCCTTGGTGATTTAGGACTAGGATTTTGACTTGGGATTTACATAAGAAAAATCATAGTTGACTTAGGAATAGGAATAAGACAGGTTCTACTTACGACTATGACTCTAAGCTATTAACATAACATTGACTTGGTAATAGGGATTTAACAATTAGCCTTCATCAAGTGTCATTTACAAAATTTCTCTTCTTATACTTCTCTCTCAATTTCCATGTGCTAAACAAAGAATCATTTCTCCATGGTATAATGGGAATTCTTCTCTTTTTCCCTTTTCTTTGTAGTTAATGCACTTTCTTATTATCTCACACCCATATCTTTGTTAATTCAACATAACGAGGGTTTTATCCATTCTTTGATTTAACAAAGTTATGTATACAACCTGTTTCTCTAACTTGCATGAACAAAATAAGGTTCTGTCTCGTAGTTTTTTATAAGTAATGTAATGTTGTTTAAGTGTTTTACCATAAAGGGGAAACAAGTTACCCGACTTCAGCTTTATCCATTAAGGAGGCCACAACCTCCTTAAAAATGTATTCACTAAAAGACATAGCAATAAGCTTTTTCAGTTCAGCCACTTCGGCTGTTATCTAACGGCCCCCAAGTGTTGTCAATTCTTTGTCAAACTGTTTATGTACCAAGAGGTTGTCATCTATGGGCATTACTTGATTCTTGGACAGTAAAAGGTTTTAACAATGAAAGTCATTTCAAACGAATTCTTACTCCTCTGTTGGTGCTTTCAGAAAGAGCTTTTTTTTTTTTTTTTTTGAAAAACAATATCCTGATCTTAATTGCAGGTGTTGAGGATGATGTATTTTTGGGTCTCTGTGCTGGTGGATTTTCAGGCCCAAGTTATTCTTTAGAGACTATGCACCTTTCTGTATAGATGGAAAATCCCAATGTCAAATTCTCCAGAAATAATAATAATAATTTATTACATGTACATCATTATAGGCCTAGAATCTACAAAAACAACTTATCTAAGCTCCATTTGGCATCTTTACACTCGTGTAAGGGCCTAGGTTAACACATTGAATAAACCAAGTGTAATTAAAGATTATCTGGCCTAATGATACTCGTATACCTGTACATGCTTAGCATGCCCATGTTGGATGTGGTATGTACCTGACGTGATACTGGCTCCTGCATGGAAACTTCTAGCGGATGGTATTATTTAACAAATCATGCCATAACATTATGTATATCTTTTGCAGTTGAATTGAATTTGGCACGATTAAGTATCAAGAAATGAAGCTTAGCTTAAAAAACTAGATATAAAAGCAATACACAAGTTTATTAAATAAGGTACCTGTAACCATCTCCCTGTGATCTTAGGAAATGGAAAGTCATATCCCCATTTTCCATGTTTGGGCATCCTAGTATTTGACTATGTGCTAAGCTTAAAAAACTAGATATAAAAGCAATACACAAGTTTATTAAATAAGGTACCTGTAACCATCTCCCTGTGATCTTAGGAAATGGAAAGTCATATCCCCATTTTCCATGTTTGGGCATCCTAGTATTTGACTATGTGCTAAGCTTAAAAAACTAGATATAAAACAATATGCAAATATATTAAATAGAAAGTCAAATCAGTGTTTATGGTAGGGCATTGGGAAAATATTAATAGAATTAGGATTCTTTGCTATCCAACCAAGCTCATGGGTAACAAGGCCTTTCTCACTGGCAGGTAGACTAAGGGGGTTTATGCCTAGTTCCTTGGAACAGAGAACCCCTTCTCACACAAAGAGTCAGCTAATCTATTAATTTGACAAAATAACAGGAAATACTTAAAACTGAAGCCCTTGTATGATATGGCCCTTACAATGTTGGATATGATCCTTATACTTAAATGTTGTAGCAGAAGACCATTTCATAATCAACCTTGCTGCATTTTCCACTTATCTAGGTTTATGCATCCCATGTTTTTGAGTTGGAATTCATGTTCACAAATTATTTTACCACAGGAAATTAAAGATGTAGAAAAAAGGTTTGAAAAGTTGGAATGGACTAATTTTGTCAAATCTTGTGAATACTGTGAAATTATTATTAATCTCAATTCAAATATTACTATTCAATATTTTTTAAAATTATCAATTACTAGTAGTCGTATTTCTCAATATGATTTGTGAATCTTACAATTTAGTGCAATCCCAGTTGCACTAATTGGCATACTTGATCTAGTGCCGTATTATAATGATTTGAAACCTGGATTGAATCTGGGCATACTGTTGAACCATTTGGATCATCACCCTCCATTGTTCAAAAGTTAAGAACCATTTTGGGCAGTCCAGTTGAACCATTGGCTGTTCAAAATTTTGGGTCAAAAAAAGGAAGAAGAGTAAACCTATCCTTGTTCCAACAGGTCATCCATTTGGATCATGGTAGCGTTACTTTGAATCGCTATATACATTTATATACCCTTCTTTTACATCTATTCTTGTTGAAGTATTTGTAGTAAGTTTCCTTCTACTTTTTCTCCCTTTTCTCCCCTTATTTCATTTCTTTTTATAATATTGTAGGAGTTGAGGTTATTCCTCATAGAGACTAAAAAACCTTTCCTTTTGTTTGCCTTTTTTTCCCTGGTTTTTTTTCTTATTCATTTTTATTATCTTTAGAATTGCTGAATGGCCTAATGTACTAAAATCTTTTCAAGTTTCTCCCTTCAAACATATGTTTGTAATCCAATTTAATGAAGCTTCTCTAGTTTTTCTATTTTTTATTTCTTTTACCCTGTCCTCAAATTTCTTTTAATATTTGAACTAGCGGAGGGGGCCCTGCGTTGCAGAGGCTCGCTCATAAACTATCAGGCTCGATCTCGATTCGAATTAGATACTTGAGCTTGAGCTCGAGCTCGGCTCGAGTCAAAAGCTCGGAAGTTTGAGCTCGGCTATCTTTGATTGCAGGTCTATCAAGCAGCTGAGGTGCCGAGCAGAGGTCTCCCTCAATTACTTAGGTGCCAAACCGAGGTCTCCCTCAACTGCTGAAGTGTCAAGGTGAGGTTTCCCTAGCAGGCGAGGTGTTGAGCTAAGGTCCCCCTTAGTTGACAAGGTGCCGAGCTGAGGTCTCTCTCAGTTGTCGAGGTGTTGAGCCGAGATCTCCCTCAATGACTGAGGTGCCGAGCCAAGGTCTCCCTCAGTGGTCGAGGTGCCATCTAGCTCGAGCTTGATTCGAATTGGAGACTTGAGCTTGAGCTTAGAAGTTCGAGCTCGGCTCGGCCCAAACTTGACTACCTTTGATTGCAGGTCCCCGAGCAGTCAAGATGCCGAGCTGAGGTCTCCCTCAGTTGGAGAGAGAGTGGCATTCTTGTAATTTATAAGGAGAGATGGCAGGAGAAAGAGAGATGGCGTTCTTGTAATTTGTAAGAAAGAGAGAGAAAGAGAGTTGGTAGGAGAGAGAGTGGCATTCTTGTAATTTGAAAGAACAAAAAAAGCAAAAGAGAGAGTTGGTAGAGAGTGTCATTCTTGTAATTTCTATGAAAAAAAGCCAAAAAATACTGTTAGATTCCATTTCCCTCATCCTCATGCCTTCTTAAGTACACATTTCAGCTTAATATATTTATATAGATATTGTCTTTCAGTTTCTTCCACTTTATTTCTGCTTAAAACCCTAGGTGCCAAGACATGCAGATAGAGAGATGAAACAGTTGGTAAGGGAGTTAAAGGAACCTTTAACTGGATACTGTGATCAGCTAATAGTATTATTGGTGTTTTGGCATGGCAGGAAGCAGGGAGAAGCCAATTGTATTGGGGCTTGATTCCCCAAGGGGGGGGGGAACATGTATACATGTATAGCTTTCTATCTTAATAATTAATAAAATGATAAATGTAACTGATAAAATCTTTGACTTTATTTTTATGCTTTTATTATTTGAGGTAAGTTTAATCATTACTCACATGCTAATATACCCAATATAGATTCAGATACATTAAGACCTTTTTTACTTAAATGGGCAAGGTTTAAAATGTCGATGTCGATGGAAATGTCGCTTACCAAAATATAGGACATGTCGGAAATGTCAAGGGGAAATATTGTAAAAATTAGAGACATTGTGGAAATATGCAAAGATATTTTGTAAAATGATAAAAGAAGGATTAATACATATTTCTAGACTATTATCTTATTCCCAACCATTATATAAAGCTAAGAAACTAAGATCAATAACAAATTAGTAAATGGCAGTTTACTGATTTATTATGCATTTTGATGTTTTTACAAGGTTATCTGATATTTTCTTATTTT